CGGGCTCGTGAGATCAGCCAGGGTGGCTCCCCCTTGGGGCTCCCAAATGATGCCCCTGGCAGCGTTTTGTGACCATGAGGCTCTCAAGAGATACATGTTGGGGAGGCCAAACGGCAATTCTAGCTGAGACGTCCCACCAAAATCGGCGCGAACGGGCTCGTGAGATCAGCCAGGGTGGCTCCCCCTTGGGGCTCCCAAATGATGCCCCTGGCAGCGTTTTGTGACCATGAGGCTCTCAAGAGATACATGTTGGGGGCGCCAAACGGCAATTCTAGCTGAGACGTCCCACCAAAATCGGCGCGAACGGGCTCGTGAGATCAGCCAGGGTGGCTCCCCCTTGGGGCTCCCAAATGATGCCCCTGGCAGCGTTTTGCGACCATGAGGCTCTCAAGAGATACATGTTGGGGCGCCAAACGGCAATTCTAGCTGAGACGTCCCACCAAAATCGGCGCGAACGGGCTCGTGAGATCAGCCAGGGTGGCTCCCCCTTGGGGCTCCCAAATGATGCCCCTGGCAGCGTTTTGTGACCATGAGGCTCTCAAGAGATACATGTTGGGGAGGCCAAACGGCAATTCTAGCTGAGGCGTCCCACCAAAATCGGCGCGAACGGGCTCGTGAGATCAGCCAGGGTGGCTCCCCCTTGGGGCTCCCAAATGATGCCCCTGGCAGCGTTTTGTGACCATGAGGCTCTCAAGAGATACATGTTGGGGGCGCCAAACGGCAATTCTAGCTGAGACGTCCCACCAAAATCGGCGCGAACGGGCTCGTGAGATCAGCCAGGGTGGCTCCCCCTTGGGGCTCCCAAATGATGCCCCTGGCAGCGTTTTGTGACCATGAGGCTCTCAAGAGATACATGTTGGGGGCGCCAAACGGCAATTCTAGCTGAGACGTCCCACCAAAATCGGCGCGAACGGGCTCGTGAGAACAGCCAGGGCGGCCCCCCCTTGGGGCTCCCAAATGATGCCCCTGGCAGCGTTTTGTGATCATGAGAGAGTGCGAGTGTGAGCTTAACTTATCTTATATTATCTTGAAATATCTTCTTATCATATCTTGTGCTATCTTATCTTATCTTGTAGTATATTATCTTGTCTTGTCTTATCTGGTGATTATCATTGGGAGGAGGGAGGCGCGAGCGGGAAGAAGAAGGAGGAGGAGGAGTGGGAGGCGTCAGAGTAATAACAAGAACCCCAATCCTTAGGATATGGGGAACAATACGAAAACTAATACTACGATTAAGGACAAGGATCAGAATCTCAATCATGATAAGAGTAAATGAATAAGCAAGTAAACACATGAATATTCCCTTTTCTATATTTTTACAATCCGGGGGGGTGGGACCCCCCCCCCCCCCGGGAAATCGGACCCCCGGAATCTGGCGCTTTTGGGGCCCATTGGACGCCTGGCAAGGGGGTCCCCCGAGCCTTCCGGGCCTCCTGGACGCCCCTGGCCGGCCTTCTGCATCTCTGGACGTCCCTAATGTCCTTGCGAAGCCTCTGCAGTGGGCGAGCGGGAAGCTCACAAAACGGCCCCAGAGCCTACAAGACGCTCCAAAAGGCCTTCCAAGACGCTTCCGAAGAGGCCCCAAGAGGCCACAATTGTTGATTCCCCATGGTGTTTTTCGAAGTTTTTGGCTTTCTCGCCTTTTCGGCTTCCCGACGTTCCAAGACGGCCCAGAGGCTCCCAAGACCGCCGCAACACGGTCCAAGAGGCCCCCTACACAGCCCCAACACGGCCCAAGCGGGCACCGAGACGACCCAAGAAGCGCCCAAGAGGGCAACAAGGCCCCGATAAAGCCTCAAAAAAGGCCCCAGCGGGCGACCAAACATCCCAAGATCTAGCTTTCCGGCCCACGAGAGCCCCAAGAAGGCCTAAGAAAACCCCAAGAGGCGCCCCGACACACCCCCACGAGGCTCCGAGAAGCTCCAATCGGCCCCCAGGAGCCCCAAAAAGACCCCATGAGGCTTCAAATCGACTCCCAAGAGGCTTCACACCAGCTTCCCAGAAAAGCCCGAGAGGCGTACCACGCGATCCCCACAGGCCCCCAAAAGGCTCCCAAGAGATACGCCACACGGCCATGGAAGTCGCCCAAAAAAGCCAATGGAACTTCCAAAGGGCCGAAAGCTTCAGAAGGCCCCTCAAATCCCACAGTTCCGAGGACGGCCCAACAGGGCCCCAAGACAATCCAAAAGAGCTCCAAGAGGGCCCAGAATCTCCGAATCCCAGTTTCGCGTCCACGGGGCCCTGGAGGCCCAAGGAGCTTCCTTGAGGCCGCAGAACCCCCCCGGAGGCTTTGCGACACCCCAGGGCCCAAGGTCCCCACGGGCCCGAAAACCCAAAACGGCCCAGAAGGCCACAGAACGCCCCAGGAGACCCCCCGGAAGCCCTAGGAGGCTTTGAAGCGGGGCCTCGACACAGAGCAAGAAGGTCTGGGTTACCAAAAAGTACCAGGGAACACCTCGGGGCTCCATTTTGGAAGATGGTTCACGCAGAAACGACATTCTCTGACGATCGGTGTCCACAAGATGGACTTCGCAATGTGTTCTTACACGCGTCATGTTCACACTTATACATACTATGTGGTGTTTGACCTGTCTCGCAAGATCTGCGAAAGGATTGCATTCGATTGGCATATTTGGGAGGATGTTTTTTATCGAAACGGCCGGAAAACTCAATGACGGACGCATTCATCCCCTCTGAGCTCTACTTATTCGTGGAGGTGCGTGTGATGATGCACATATGTGCACCTTTCCCCCAATATAAAAGACAGCTTCAATTTCCGCAGTTATTTTGGCTCAAACACCATTGCGCCTTCAAGGGTGAAGTCGCGGTGACCATGAGGGACTCTTGTTGGGTTTCGTTCTGGCTCGTTCGCTGCGTTCGGCAGATAGTTCGCGACAGCCTGCTCAAGAAAACGCTGCGCACCGCAGATCTGCCAAGCAGCTGGCGCGCCCTGCCTCCCAGCGCGGAGCTGGTGCCAGCCATGGACGTGCACATGGAAACTCTCACTACCGCGGAGCTCAAGGACCCGTGTGGGCATTACATTCAACCACCCTGGTGTCGTTCAACTGGGCCCCCCCCCTCCACCCCACAATTATCGACATGCACGTTCGGTTCCCTTCGGGGGGCGCGGCCTGTGCAACACCCAGGGCGACAATGACGCCAGGGTGGTTCGCAATGTGAGTCCACGCCCACATATGTGAGGCCCTCCTTCCGGCGTTGTCGACGTGGCGCGACACGTACGTGCCCACCAGCGAGTGGAACGCGTACAACCACACGGGGTCAACCAGCACGGCTCCTTTGTACGTGAGGAGCATCGAGGGCGAGAAAGTATGTTTGGAGTGCGCTGACAAAACGGGCCGGGCTCAGACACACATACTGAACCAGTGCCCGCAGCACGCTCGAGATAGCACGGTGCTGTTGCTCGAGTTCCTGCACTCCCCTTGCGCATTGCGCATTATTGCCGATCATGTGAACACCATCGCCGGAGCCAAGGGAGTGGCGGCAAAGCTCAACGTGGTCTTCCAGCAACACCCGGGCACCCAGCCGACCTGATTGGCGACAGTTTCAATCCTTGGAAGCTACAGAAGAATAGACTCGCCAAGCTCCACGCAGCGAAAGCCGCGCGAGAGCTCAGAAAAATTGCCGCCAACAGAAGATGCTTCCTGAGCGCGCTCACGGAGCTCGGCCACAAAGGCGGCATGGTACCGGCCCTGTTCGCGGCGTCCGCCGAAGAGATGGAAGGGGTGCTCGCGGCGTCTCCTGGGTGGAGAAGCTTCAGAGTGAAGAATGCGTTGCGCATTCGACAGCCCTCGTCGCGGTGCCCGGATCACGGGCGGCACAAGAAAACTCCCGCGGTCGTGCTCGCAGGCAGCGGGCCGCGCCGCGTGGTGTCCCAGCGATTGGGCACCACGGTGTGGGCAACCGGGAAACGCGGACGACCGGTTCGCAAGGTTGCCGTGCTTCACGCCCAGAACGCCGCCGCCATCCAGCTGTGGACCGTCCTGATCCGGCAAGCTGGAGCCACGCGCGTGAAGGCTTTCCAGGAGCACAAAGCCGCGACTCTTGCTAAGTTCAACCACGACGTGGTGCGGCGGGTGTACTCATTCTGTGAGCAGGCCACCCTCACGGATTACGGCGCGCAGTTCGCCTTTTGCGAAGAGTCGCAATTGCTGGCTCGGCTCGGGGGCGCTGCAGCAGAAGAGGACGCAGAGGCCGGGAGTGACTGGGAGAACGTGGCAGCCGGCGACGAGCACGAGGTCGACGAGGCCGCTGCTGCTGGCGGCGCCTGACGGCCGACCATTTAATTCGGAACGCAAGCGCGCTGGGGCGGAAACAGACTTCCTCCCCCTGACACCTCCTGCTGCTGGCCTTAGACTCGATTCCCGGTAACGAAAGACAGCACACATGTGTGCGTCGCAACAATATTCGGGAAATCCGTTGTGAACTTGGGATTCGGTGCACTTCCCGAGAAGATCGCACGTCGACGTTTGAGGCTCGAGGTTCGCAGGGCAAGACTCGAGAGAGGAAGGCGCAGATCACGGTTCGCAGCTCGACACTTCAGGTTTTCCTGTGATGTTCTATTCTTTCGGGGCCTCCGCTCTCTCGCCGCCACGTTGCAGGGGCCGCTTCAAAATTCAGTTCCAAACGCAATCCTAAATGAGCTTGCCGCACTTCAAGGCCAACATGGATGAGGCGAACAGGCATTTATGCTCGATTCGAAGGACCAAGGTGCATGGCGCGAAGCGCCAATGCAGTCTTGTATATATATATATATATATGAACACATATGAATCGCAGCAAACATAAGTGTACACTGAGAGTCAGAAGCACAAGAAGGAGAACAAGAAGAAGAAGAAGAAGAGGACAAACGAAAGAGGAGGACGACGAGGATAAGGCTCAGCAGGCGGATGCAGATGGGGAGGGGGGGTAGAAGGAGCGAGACAGGGGGCGGCGATGGCGAGGATAAGGGGAGGGCGACGGCTACGGCGAGGAGGGGCAATTTCTGATTGTCTCCTCGTCCCGCCTCTCTTTTCTGCTCTGTTCGATGTAAGTCGCACGCGGCTCGTACATCTCTACCCGCAACTGCTCAGGAGAAGGAACGGGAAGCCAAGACTGAACTCTGCTGTCAGAGCTTCAGCTCGGAAGGCAGACCGCAGCCAGCCCAGAAACTCTCCTCCTCGGACTAGCAGTTCACTCTTGCCAGCAAGAAAAAAGTACGCGATGAGTGCCGCCCCTGCCGCAGAATCGCCTTCACCCCGCCGTGCCCCGTCCAAGCAGAGCCCTCGTCGTCCCCTCTCCCCTATCCCTCCCGCTCCCCCTCCCGCAGGGGGAGGAGGAGGCTCGTTGCTCTTGTCCTCCTGGGCGGACAAGGGGGTGGAGGGGAGGAGGAGAGGCAGGGGGAGGAAGGGGTGGAGGAGGAAGTGGAAGAGGAAAAGAAGAATGAGAGGAGGAACTTAAGGACGGATGACATGAGAGGAAGAGGAGTCCGATGTTGAGGCTGACCGTCAGGCAGGAGGATAACAACACAGAGGAGGAGGAAGAAGAGCACGGTAAGAAGAGCAGGAAAACGATAAGGGGAGAGGGGGAAAGAGAATGAGGAAAAGTACTCTGCTTCGAGCGATTCCCACCCGAGAACGCGAGGCGGGACACCTTGGGAGCACCGGCGCTCTTGGGGCCTGGCGGCCGCGGAACGCAGTCATCTCTCGTCGAAGGCACGAAGCGAGGTATCCAGGGAGCACCAGCAAGACAAGGACCAGCATTGCACAAGGACCAGGACCAGGATGAGGACGAGGGGAACGAGGACGATCAATAGGATCAGGGCGGGAAGAGGGAAGAGTAGCGAAGACGATGACTGAGGACGTGGACCAGGACAAGAGCCGGAAGCAGGACGAGAAGCGGGACCAGGGCCAGGACTGAGACCAGGTCCAGGACAGGGACCAGGACGAGGACGAGGAGGATCAAGACCAGGACAGAGACCAGGACGTGGACGAGGATGATAAGAGACCAGGACGAGGACAGAGTTGACGACGAGGAGGAGGTTGTCTCGTGCGGACACGTCCACCCACTGCGAAGGCACCACCACGTGTGGCAAAAGGAGCGGAGTTCTACAGCACAGCCCTCGTCCGTTCCGAAACTCCGACCGATGGCCAGAAAGGTGTCCACCTCGGGCAACTAGCGACTGAGCGATGGGATAAGACAGGACAAGGAGGAGGAGAAGGAGGAAAAGGAGGGGGACGTGGATCGCAGCCAAGAGGCAGGCGGAGGAGAAGGAGGAGGACAAGGAGGAGGAGGAGGAGGAGGAGGAGAAGGAAGAGGAAGAGGAATAGGAGAAGGAGGGGGAGAGGAGGAGGAAGACGACGACGAGGGTGAGAAGGCCCTTTGGCAGATGGGCTGTGCTGTGAGCTCTGAGAAGGCGGGGCAAAGCGGGACGGGAGGAATTGAAGCAGGACAAGGTGAGCGACAGGAAATACGGCTCCCATGAACACTGTATGGGGCGGAGTGCACGGGACGGGATGCACGCGACGGAACGGGGGAAGAAGCGGAGAGGGGAGAACCGGGGGGGGGGCAAGCTAGGTGCGCAAGCGTCTTTTCTGATGTCCTACCCCTCCCTCCTATCCCTTACCATGGCGTAGATCTCCTCTGTAGATTCGCACAGTCGGATATCAAGCAGGGCAACGATCCCGAGAGGGTCCGAGATGCATGGCAGTGCATGGCGTATCACGGCGCAGAAGAGCGCGGCAGAGCGTAACATGCTCAGAGGGAAACCTGACATGACGCAAGACGAAAAATGTAAATGAACAGTTCGGAAAGAGCGGAAGCGTATGATGAGAGCCAACGCTGTAGCGGGAACACGATTTGGAAGATCCGCAGCAAAGAAATGAGGCCAGCGGTGCAGCGGGAGTAGGATGTCGAAGGACTGAGAGCCAGAAAATGGAGCCAACGCTGAAGCGGGAGCGCCAGTCGGGAAACACCGAAAACGCTCGAATTGGAAAAGCTCATATGATCGATCACCTGTGGAGAAAACGCAAAATGAAACATGTGCAGAGGGGGGCAGGCTACGACCTCGGGGTCTTCGGGGGAGAGAGGACAGTAGTATTCAGATTGTGCTTTTGTGGAAAGGATGGGGTGGAGGAGGGGCAGAGGAGAAAAGAGGGGAGAGCGAGGGAGAGAAGGAGACGGAGAGATGGAGAGAGCGCAGGCGGATGCTACTGCTGGGCTGGACACGGCACTTGGCGTGTCCAGCAATCGGCGATGGCACGAGCACCTCGCGGAGATCGGACAGGCCGTGCCCGCCGGCCGCAGGCTCAGTACACCGTGCGGCCCCCGGAGGCGTCGAAGCAGAAGCCCGTCGTGAAGGAGCACTCCGGGGAGGCGGCGAAGCAGACCGTGGCGGCCACCTCGTCCACGGACCCCGTGCGGCTCATCGGGATCTTGTCGGTCATGTACTTCACCTAGGAGGAGGAGGAGGAGGAGGAGGAGGAGGAGGAGGAGGAGAAGGAGGAGGAGGAGGAGGAGGAGGAGGAGAAAGAGGAAGAGGGGGAGAAGGAGGAGGAGGAGGAGGGAGGAGGTAGGAGGAGCAGGAGGAGGAGGAGAAGGAGGAGGAGGAGGGGCTGGTAAGGCTTCGGGTTGTGCACAGACAGCTCCCCCCAGGCAGTCCCAGCTGGCATCAACATGCATCCCGAGCAGTCTGGGGCGGTCTCAACACCCTGGCGCTGCCTTCGGCGGCGCCCCTGGGGCGCTCCGCGCCGCAGGGTTGAGATGTTGAGGCCGCCCCGGACAAGTCGGGGGGCCTGTTAACGCCAGCCACGACTACCTGGCATGGCTGTCTGTCTGCAACCCGAAGCCTTACCAAGAGGGGCAGGAGCATGGGAGACCAGAGGAGGGGAGAAGGGGGAGGGGAAGGATCAGCCAGCATCGAATCAGGAGATCGGATCGGATCGGAATGTGCGTCGGGTCTGCCTGCATCGGCACGGAGTCGAAACCGAATATGATCGGCCGCGAAAGGGTGCACAACAGCGCCATGCGAGCATCGGGCCGCATCGGATCGTCGTGATGCCAGAACCGAATCGGATCAGGCCAGCCGATATCGCTCGATCGGATCGACATGATCCATGGGGAGGAAGGGGGGAGGGCGGCGGCGAGGAAGGCAAAGGGCGAGGGGAGGGGGGCGGGGCGAGGGCGAGAGCGAGGAGGAGAGAGCCAGGGAGGGCGAGGGAGGGAGGGCGAGGGCGAGGGTGAAGGGCGAGGGAGGGCGAGGGCGAAGGGGGGAAGCGCGTGGGCGAGGAGGGCGAGGGGGAAGGAGAGCGACGGGGTGGAGCGCCTGCTCCGGCGGCATCGCGTCCACCATGGCCGTCCGCACCACCGCGGGTGCAACGCAGTTGACGGTGATGTCCTTGCCCATGTTGACGTAGTCCTTCGAGACGAAGTCAGGACGATGATCAAATCGGGTGAGGATAAAACGAGAATCTCCGAGAGCTGGCGGCTCTGGAAGACGTCTCGGGCGCCGCGGCCTTCTCAGAGCGTTCAGGAATGCTCTGGAACGGATTTATCTTCGTCCTGGCCCCGTCCGATCCTTGCCGATAACCTTGGTGAGACCGATCACTGCTGCCTTAGAGGCGGAGTAAGCGAGCATGCCAGCGTTGCCTTCCTTTCCGGAAATGGAAGCGATGTTCACGATGCGGCCGTACCCTGACGCCAGCATGGACGGCAGCACCGCCTTGGCACACAGGAACAGCGCCTTGACATTGATGTCGAACACCTTACTGAAGTCAGCCGTGTCCACCTGGCTGACTCCAGAAACCCTCGGAACGGCGGGTTCGTGTCGTGCCGACTCAGGCGTAGATTTCTGACACCCTGTGGATGGATCGCTCGACCTTGAGCGATCGCGGCTTCCCGACAGCGCAGATCGCCCGATATCGGCCCATTCCTGGCCACAGGCGGCGTTCAACCTCGAACGCCCGCGCTGGGGTCGCCGCCGCGTCGACACGACCCGAACCTGCCGTACCCAGGAGCTGAGCTCGCTCGGGAGGTCAACTCTTGCTCCCGCCGCCCTCCGCCAGGCCCACGCCGGCAAACACTGCCTCGTCCCACTCCCGCCGGCTTCCGCAGAGCGCGAGGTGCCAACTTCTCGACCCCTCGAAGGCGAGGCCCCTCTGGCGGTGCGAGGACGGGGGTGGGGCGGGGGCAACGGCCTTCCGAGAAGGCATGGGGCTTACGGTCGGGCACGTTTGCTCAGCGTGTCGCGGCGGCCCCAGCGACACGCTATGGCCTGCGAGTGGACAGCGTGTCGCTGCGCTGCGCGGGGCGGGAGGTCGGGACAGGCTCGGGACGTTGACGCCTGGGGACTGGGACATGGATAGCATGCCGCGCGGAAGCATGGTGGGCCAGAACTGGCCGCGCGGCACGCCAAGCCGAAGTCCCTGACAGCACCAGAGGGCCCCCGAGGCTTCTGAGAAGGCTCCCTCGGGGGCAGGAGTCGGCCGCACTAGGCAAGAGTGACCTTTGGTGCGCGGCTCAGGGGGCGCGAGTTGGCCAGATCCATGCCCAAAGGCCGCTGGGGGCCCAAGTAGGCCCACACTGGAGGTCACTCCGGCGAAGGGTCACTCCTGCGTGTAGTCGAAGGAGGGCTTCTGAGAGGCCCCCTGGCCTTGTCTGAAGGCCGCCACTCTCGCGCCATCACCAGACCCCGAATCCGCTCAAAACGGGTCCCCTTTGCACCTTCCAGGCTCCGTCCTGGTCAGTTGTTCGAGCTGAGTTCAGCCGTGGCGACGACGGGGAGGCAGCAGACGAGCCTAGAGGGCGAGGAGATCGAAGACGATGCCCTTTCTGGAGCGTCTTGCCTCGTGGGTCTTCACGTTGGTTTTCCCGGTGACGCCCGCGGCACAGACAAGCACGTCCACCCTGCCGAAGGACCTCAATACCTCTGCCACGGCGCCCGAGACGGCTGACTCGGAGGTGAGCTCCACGTTCATGCAGACCGCCTTGGATCGGGAGCGGCCAGGAGGGGGGTGTCCAAGAGGGGGGGGGGGGGGGGGGGGGGAAAAATCATGGCCGGCGGCATGTGCGCGGCCTAGCGGGGGGGGCCCGGGACGTAATGAAATAAGAAGAGGCGCCATGAAATCTGGGGAAATATCATGGCCCCCGCCATGCTATCCACCCCCCCCCCCCTAGTCATCACCCCCCTCTTTGCCGCCCGCGATTGGATGTGCAGGATACAGACACGATGTTGCTTCAAACTAGCGATCTGGCCCCTGAGAAGCCTCACAGGGGGAGACAAGGACTGCTGAACAGATAGACTTCAGTATGCCAGCGCACCGATCGAACTACTTCAGCTCAGCAATCGTGACCTTCCCAGGCCGCCGTGGTCACGCCCAGGGGCCAGATCGGTGATCTGAAGGAGCTCAGGTGCCCGCAGAGGACCCACCCAGGCCTCTGGCGCCATCATTTGTCTCGCGGACCCCTGGAGCGTTGGCCCATTCCCTGGCGCTGGCTTCTCTCATCGCGGAAGGGACGCTTTGTTGCACCCTTTAGGCGCAACTATCGGCCGAAGACAACCTGCACGTCTGAAGTGATCCACGTACCAACATTTCAAGGAGATGCGATTGATGAATCCATTGGTGCGGTCTGCGCGCCGAACCGCCCCAATGCAGGATCAATACCGAGTCTTTGGCTGCTCGCAGGGCCCAAAACGAGCCCCCCCGGGACCGGGATCGAGAAAAAGTGGCGCACGCGCCGCAGCTATTTCGCCGCGCCGCTGGGAGGTCAGGGGAGGGAGGAGGGGGAGGAGACAGAGGGGGGCAGGAGCTCAGAGGTGAGGGGGGACGGGGACAGGGGGGATGGACCCAGACATCCGACTGCTCCAACTGTTTCGACGCGTTGGCCCCGGAGGTCTGGACCACGTCCCTAGCGTCGGATCTCTGGGGAGGGGGGAGGAGCTCAAAGGCGAGCCCCATGCTCACGAAGGCCGCCTCGATCGCAGGCGCGGCTGTCTTGAGCGCGGCGATGGCGTCCGACCCGTCGCCCAGGTCGAAAATGCACACAGCCTTTGCGCCCTCCTGCGGAGTGGGGTGAGAAACGGTCCACCTCCGCCTCCTCCTCCTCCTCTTCTTCCGCATCCTCTTCCTCATATTCCTCCTCCTCCTAATCATCATCATAATCATCATCATCTTCATCAGCATCAGCATCAGCATCATCATCATCATCATCACCACCACCACCACCATCATCATCATCATCATCACCATCATCATCATCATCATCATCATCATCATCGGCAGCATCATCATCAGCATCAGCATCAGCATCATCATCAACAGCATCATCATCAACATCATCATCAGCATCATCATCAGCAGCATCACCAGCATCATCATCAACATCATCAACATCACGATCGTCATGATGATCATCATCAGCAGCAGCAGCATCATCAGCATCAGCATCAGCATCAGCACCAGCATCATCATCGCCATCATCATCATCATCATCATCATCATCATCATCATCATCATCATCTGCATCATCATCCTCATCATCATCCTCAGCAATAGCATCATTATCAGCATCATAATACATATCTTCATGATCGTCGTCAACAGTATCATCATCAGCAAAATCAGCATCATCAGCATAATCAATAGTATAATCATCAGCAGCAGTATCAGGATGATCATCACAAGCAGCAGCATCATCCTAATCATCATCATCATCATCAGCAGCAGCATCATCAGCAGCATCATCAGCATCACCATCATCATCATCATCATCAGCAGCATCATCATCAGCATCAGCATCGCCATCATCATAATCAGCAGCAGCATTATCATCATCATCATCATCATCATCAGCATCATCATCAGCAGCATCGTCATCATCCTCATCCTCATCCTCATCCTCATCCGCACAATCACCCTCACCATCACCCTCATCCTTCCCCTCTTCCTCCTCCTCCTCCTCCTCCTCCTCCTCCTCCTTCCCTCCTGCTCCTGCTCCTCCTCCTCCTCCTCCTCCTCCCCCTCGTCCCCCTCCCCTTCCTCTTTCTCCTCACCCTCCCTAGGGAAGACCCCGGAGACCCTAAGCTGCCAAAGAGTTCCGAAAACATCGACGTTCGTTCCAAGATACGTCTCCTTTTCCTCCCCCTCCTCCTCCTCCTCCTCCTCCTCCTCCCCCTCCTCCTCCTCCTCCTCCTGCTTCTCCTCCTCCTGGAACTCATCTTTCCCCTGGCCAGATTCGAACGCTCTTCCCTCCACCCACATGCGGCCTGTGCGCTGTGCAAGATTTCCCTAAACAGTGGGCGATATCTCTGTAGCTTCGGGGCCGCCCAGAGGACGAGGAGGGAACGAGGGGAAAGGGGAGGAAGACGAGGCCGAGGGGGAAGCAACGACGACCCCAACGCACAGAAACGACAAAGCGGGAGGAAGGAAAAGAGAGAGTAGGCTACGGACCGAAGAGACAAGACGAAACGAGGCAGACGATAAGAGAGGAAAATCGAAGCGGATCCAGACTACAGCCCTGACGGCGGACATCCTCATACCGCGGGGAGTACTGAACCTGAAGCGAAGGGTGTTGACGAAAAAGTTGAAGGCTGCAGGCGCGAGAGCCACCACAGGAATCCAACACGAGAGGTCACCGATCAATTCGCCAAAGTCAGTGCCCCCTGTGTCCAGCAGCTGCTACATGCGAGTGGTCCCGTAGGGACTAGATAACAGATAGCACACACCCGAGCAAGTTCACCGACCCATTCATTGACGAAGATGCAGAGCGTCCCCGAATACAGGAGCAAGGACTTCCAACTCAGCCCGAAGAGAACGCACCGAGAACCATCGCAGCCCGAGCGAAGAGGGCCATGCAGCCCTGCCATAAGAAGACGTCGAAGTAGAAGAAAACGAAATACAAGATGATGAAGCAGACGCGGAGCAGGAAAACGGAGTAGCGAAGAAAGCGGTAGACGTGGAGAAAGACTGGATGAGAACTACGGCGGCGAACGAGACGTGCGCGGCATGGGCGCGGTACCCGCACCAAGCGCGGCCAACGGGCGGCGGTCCCACCTCGGCTGGACGGCGCACCCCCAACGGCGCCCTGTGCGGTCTCGCCCTCGCGCGCGCGCCTCACCGTCCGCTCCCAGTGGCCCAGTGGAGTCTCCCAGCCATGAGCACGAAGACCCAGCCAGGCCCTCACGAAGGAGCCCTGCAGCACGCGTCAGGCCGACACCTCGGCGCACAGGATCGCGGTCCCTGCGGGCCACGCCCTGTTGCGTGACCACCTGCGCACTGGTGTCCAGAAGGCTCAGGACTTCCTCTACGTCCGCGCCAGGGACAGCCGCCAGCGTCCGCAGGAGCGCCAGCGCCTCCAAGCACGCCGTGCGCGTGCGCGGCGATGTCTGGCATCAGTCACCCGCGCGGATGGCCTCCGCCGCCTCGCCCGATTCATGGCGCAGTGAGTCGGCAGCGGGGGACTCGGACACGGCGGCGACGTCGTCAGCAGGAGGCAGCGCCTCCTGGGGCACCTGCTGCGGAAAGAACTCCATTAGGCTGCTCACCTGCTGTGGCAACTTCTGCTCCTGCTTGTGCGTGCCGTCCCCTCCGAGGGGAACATCCTGCTGCTGCGGCCACTGTACCGGCTCGCGTGTGCCGTCCCAATCGAGGTTGTCGTCCTGCTGCCGCAGCTCCTGCTGCCGCCAGTGGATGCCGTCCTCGTCGGGGTAGTCGTCCTGTTGCCGTGGACGTCGGCAGCCCCGATGGTGGGCTGGTTGGTGGCATTACCCTCAGGGGTGCTGAAAGCCAAGTTGATGCCCACTCTCATCACCACCGCCTGCGCTAGTGAATCTGCGTGGCCCAGCGGTTGCAGCAAGTCCTGCCACCACGCATTCAACGCGTCGAATTCCTCAGCATCGGCCTTCCACACGCTGTCATCATCAAGCTCCTCATCGGCATCGAGTCGGTAGTGAAGCAGTGAACCACCTCGGTGCCTTGTCTGACCTCGGGCTCGCCATCGGGCTCGATGCCACGAAGGCTGGCACGAGCCGGGCGCAGCCAGCCGAGGCGCGGCGCGGCCTCGCTCGAGGGCTCGCCGCTGATGCCGGCGGCGAGCCGCCACCGACTCATACGACTCATACACGGGCGGGGTCGCGCCAGTGGCGCCCACAGCGCCCGCCCCGGGAAGGGCTGCGCCCGTGTCGCTGGCAGCGCGAGGCGCGCCCCTGCGCCGTGCCGCCAGGGGCCCTGGCCAGGTTCGGGGCAGCGCCAGCAGCGCCCGCGGCGCTCGCGTCCATGCCGTTTGAGTCGGATCGGAAGAGGGGCAAGAGAGTGAGAGAGAGAAGGGGCGGGCCGCCCTGGCTCAAGTCTTGGCTTGAGCCAAAATGGCGTGAGCCAACTCCTGCTCTTGACCCGTCCCCCCTCCTCCTCCGCCTCCTCCTCCCCCCCAGAAATCTCTGGAGGCCCAAAACCACAATGATACAAAAGCAACGCTGTCAATCCTCGATCCTTTTCCTCCTCCTCCTCCTTCTCCTCCTCCTCCTCCTCCTCCTCCTCCTCCTCCTCCTCCTCCTCCTCCTCCTCCTCCCTTATCCGTCCTGCTTTCCCCTCTCACCTTCCTCCATCTCTCCTTCCTCTATCCTCATCCCTCACTGCTTCCTCCTTCGCCCTTCCCCTCCTCCTTTCCTCGCTTCTCCTCCCTCCTTTCTCTTCCCTCATCCCCCCTCGACCCGAAGGATCCTTGGCCAGCCGCAGCGCAATGGCGAGGCCGATGCCGCGCGCGGCACCCGTGACCACGCAAACCTGACTGGCGCGGGCCTGGGTTTACTTTGGTCCTCGTACTCCCTCCTCTTCCCCTCCTCCTCCAGTTTCCCCTCCGAATCGTCGCAACACTCCTGCATATCCCCCTCATCCTTCTCTCCTCCTCCTTTTCCTCCTCCTTCTCCCCTTTCGAAGCACTGTCCAATCTCTCACCTCCTACTCTTCCTCCTCGACCTCATTATCATCACGACCCTCCTCCACCGAACCTCTTCCTTCACATCATCATCATCATCATCATCATCATCATCATCATCATCATCATCATCATCATCATCATCATCATCATCATCATCAGCAGCAGCAGCAGCAGCATCATCATCATCATCATCAGCATCATCATCATCATCATCATCATCATCATCATCATCATCATCATCAACGTCATCATCCTCATCATCATCATCGTCATCATCATGGTCACCATCATCAACATCATCAACATCATGATCATCATCAGCATCGTCATCTTCGTCGTCGTCGGCATCATCAGCAGCAGCAGCATCATCGGCAGCATCATCACCAGACCACCATGATACCGGAGAAAAGCACAAATCAGAATATCTTTAGGGCTATAGGGCTATGGGGCTATAGGGCTATAGGGCTATAGGACTATGAGGCTCTGGGGCTATAGGGCTATACTGCTATACTTCTATAGGGCTATAGGGCTATAGTGCTATAGGGCTATCTGGCTGTAGGGCTATGGGGCGATAGGGTTATTGGGAGATAGGGCTATTAGGGTGTAAGGCTATAAGGGAAGAGGGCTATAGGGCTATAGGGCTATAGGGCTATTAGGGTTATAGGGCTGTAGGGCTATTAGGACTATAGCGCTATAGGGCTATAGGGCTATAGGGCTATAGGGCTATAGGGCTGTAGGGCTATAGGGCTATAGGGCTATAAGGCTATAAGGCTATAAGGCTATCAGGCTATAGGGCACCCCACCCAGGCACCTGGGCACCCGGGCACCCGGGCACCCAGGCACCGAGGCACCCGGGCAACCGGGCACCCGGGCACCCGGGCACCCGGGCACCTGGGCACCCGGGCGTGCCGCCGAAATCGGCGCCAAACCTCACCTAACCAGAAGAATCTGCTAGGACCCCTACGGAGGCAAGGTCTGATTGGCGAACTATGATCGCCGTTGTCAACATTATCATGTTCATCATCATCATCATCATCATCATCATCATCATCATCATCATCATCATCATCATCATCATCATCATCATCATCATCATCATCATTATCATTATCATTATTCTTATTATCATCAGCAGCAGTATCATAATCAGAATCAGCATCACCATCCTCATCATCAGCAGCATCAGCATCAGCACCAGCATCATCGTCACCATCATCATCACAATCGTCATCATCATCGTCATTATCATCACCGCCATCAGCATCATCATCATCAATATCAACATCTTCATCACCACCACCACCATCAGCATAATCCTCCTCCTCCCACTCCTCCTCCCCCTCCTTCTCGTCCTCCCCGTCGCCGTCGTCGTTGTCGTTGCGTCGTCACCATCATCACCGTCGCCGTCATCATTGTCTACCCCCAACCCCGCCCCCATTCCTTATCATCATCCTCATCATCACCACCAACATCATCGTCGTCATAATTGTGCCCATGAACATTCCCCTTCCCCTACTCCTTCTCTTTCGCCCTGTCAGAACTAAGTCACCTACCGTTGCTCATCGCGCCGCGCGAACCGCGAACAGCGATTCTCTTCGTGACCTCGCGTCACTCATTGGGAATAACACCTCTCCAGTCCTGTCTGGCTTCCGCATCCTCCTCCCCTCGCTCTTCGCCGTCACTCAGGCCCAGACTATGTCCGCTGCGGGGCCCCCAGGACCCGAAAACAACCCGCAACGAATGACTTGCCCTGGTGGGTGGAATCGAGACCACTCAGGCCGACGTCATTGCTGCACAAATTTGTCTTAAGTTTCGAGGACATCTCAAGCGAGGACCCCGATTTGAAAACAAGCCAGCGCCCTCAATCCCTGCAGCTGTTCAACAAAATGCAACTTCTGGTCTTCATGTAGGAGTCTCAAACGAAAGTCCAGTGTGCGCGGCGCTAAGGTGTGAGCCCCATTTTGAAAAGGAGCCACCCTCAATCCTTGAAACTGCTGCAGTCTAAAGACAAATGTGCGGAAGTTCAGGCGAAAGTCCCATTTTGGACAGGAACCGCTCCCTCTCCTTGAAGCGGTTGCAAGTTTATGAAACAATTCGCGCGGCGCTGATGCGTGAGCCCCACTGTGAAAACGACACCCCCTCTATCCTTAAAAACGCTGCAAGCTTTTAAGACGAGTGCGTGCCGCACGAACTGAGGCGAGAGCCCTATTCTGAAGACCAACCCCTTCCATGAGCGCAACTGTTGCAGATGTCTGGATTCAGGATCTTGAATGGTGAAAAATCTCAAGGCACAGACGAGGAGAGAGGAGGAGGAGGAGGACGAGAAAGGAGAAGAAGAGAGGAGGAGGCAGGAGGAGGCAAGAGGAGGCACAAGGAGAAGGAGGGGAGAAAGGAGAAGGAGTGGGGAACAGGACCTGGCCGTCGAAACGGCCGCCCGCCGCCGGCGCGGGCCGCAGCACGTGGGCGGCCAACCGGCCCAGGCGCAGCATCGGCGCTCCCGGCGGCGCCTCCGAGGGGTGTGGCCAGGCAGCGTCCGATGCGGCAGCAGGGCCGTCGCCGCCGTCGCCGCCGCCGCCACCGCCGTCGCCGTCGCCGCCGCCGCCGTCGCCGCCGTCGACGCCGTCGCCGTCGCCGCCGTCGCCATCGTCGTCGTCGTCGCCGTCGTCGCCGCCGTCGTCGCCGTCGCGGTCACCGTCGTCGCCGCAGTCGTCGTCGTCGTCGTCGTCGTCGTCGTCGTCGTCGTCGTCGCCGTCGTCGTCGTCGCCGCCGCCGCATCCAATCGGCCTGGTAGTCCCACGAAGGAGCTGGCGCCCCATCCTCCACCTCCTCCGCCTCCTCCTCCTGATCCTCCTCGTCCTCCTCCTCCTGCTGCTGTTGCTCCTTCTTTCCTCCTCCTCCTCCTGCTCCCCATGATAGTCCTTTTGCTTCCTCCTGCTGCTGCTGCTCCTCCTCATCATCATCATCATCCTCATCCTCCTCCTCCTCTCCTCCTCCTCATCCTCCTCCTTCTCCTCCTCCTCCTCGTCAGCATCGTCATCATCGCCTCATCATCCTTATCACCATCACCATCACCATCACCATCACCATCACCATCATCATCATCATCATCATCATCATCATCATCATCATCAGCAGCAGCAGCAGCATCAGCATCAGCATCAGCATCAGCATCATCATCATCATCATCATCATCATCATCATCATCATCATCATCATTATCATCATCATCAGGATCAGGATCAGCATCATCATCATCATCATCATCATCATCATCAGCATCGTCATCGTCATCATCATCATCAGCATAATCAGCATCAGCAGCAGCAGCATCATCATGGTCACCATCATCATCATCATCATCATCATCATCAGCATCATCATCATAATCAGCATCGGCAGCATCATCATCAGCAGCATTATCATAATAATCATAATCAAGATCATCAACAATAACATCAGCGTCAGCATCATCAGCATCAGCAGCATCATCATCGGCAGCATCATCATCAGCAGCTTCATCATCATCCTCATCGTCGTCATCACCATCGCCGTCATCATCAACAACAGCATCACCAGCATCATCAACATCATCATCATCGTCGTCGCCACAATCATCTTCATCATCATAATCCTCATCCCCATCATCGTCAACAAAAGCATCATCTTCAGCATCATCAGCATCAGCATCGTCGTCATCATCAGCAACAGGATCATCATAGTCATAATCATCATCAGCATCATCATCAGCATCAGCATCAGCATCAGCATCATCATCTTCATAATCAGCATCGTCATTATCATAGTAATCACCATCATCGTCCATCATCATCAGCCTCATCATCAGCAGCAGCAGCGGCATCATCACCATCATGATCATCATCGTCATCATGATCATCGTCGTCATCATCATTACTACCATCATGATCATCAGCTTCGTCGTCGTCATCATAATTATCATCACCACCACCACCATCATCATCAGTCCCATATCAGCAGCTGCAGCATCATAATCACCATCATCATCATCATCATCACCACCACCACCATCATCATCATCATCATCATCATCATCATCATCATCATCATCGTCCCGCTTCCCTCCCCTTCCGCACCCTCCATCCCCTGCCTACCCCCTTCCCCTCTCGTCGCCGCCGTCGTTGTCGTCGCCGTCGTCGCCGCAGTCGCCGTCGTTCGGTGCGGCGGTAGGGCAAGGTCAGAAGCCGGGCTCCGAGGGTCGGCGGTCGGTGTTTGGAGGTCGGGAGTCGGATCAGGATCCTCGAGGTCGAGGTTTCGAGGTTTCGGGGATCAAAAGCGTCGTCGTCGCCGTCGGGGGCGGAGAAGATGAAGGAGGCGAAAGGGGAGGAGACGGAGGAGGAGGAGGAGGAGGAGGAGGAGGAGACAGAGAAGGAGGAAGAGGAGAAAGAGGAGAGGAGGAGGGGGAGGCGGAAGAAAGCGAGGGAGGGAGGGAGGGGAGGGGGAAGAGGAGGAGGAGGAGGAGGAGGCGCAGCATGGGCGCTCCCAGCGGGAAGCGTCTGGATGCGGCGGCAGGGCACTCCCTCGCCCCAGACCTCCAAAAACGAGATTCGAGGATCGAGGATCGAAGGTCGGGGCTCAAAAACATGCTTGTCGCAATCTTCGCCCTGTGGGGGCCGGCTTCGAGCCCTGGGTGCCGCCAGAAATCTACCCGGGGCTAGAAAAGCTGGCCCACATGGATCCCAGGGGGGCGTCAGGAGACCCAGATCGCGCGAAAACTCGAAGACATACATACAGACATACATGCATGCATGCATGCATGCGTAGATGCATACATACATACATACATACATACGTACGTACGTACGTACATGCATACCTACCGACCTACCTACCTACCTACCTGCCTGCCTGCCTGCCTGCCTGCCTGCCTGCCTGCCTGCCTGCCTGCCTGCCTGCCTGCCTGCCTGCCTGCCTGCCTGCCTGCCTGCATGCATACATACATACATACATACATACATACATACATACATACATACATACACACATGCATACATACACACATACACACATGCATACATACATGCATGCATACATACATACATGCATGCGTAGATGCGTACGTACGTACGTACGCACGTACGTACGTACATACATACATACATAATTCAATGCTCTCTCGTGACTTTCTGCGTATGGAGGCCATCTCTTGGCCCCTGTGGCACCGTTGAAACAGCACTGGGTTGCAAAAACACATCTGGGGAAAACGTCGAGATGACTGAAGACCCGAGAGTATCGAATCGGAGAAGGATCAGTGAGCCTCCAAACGGCAAATCGGATCGGATCGGGGCATGCATCGAGTCGGACTGAATCAGCACGGAGTCGAAATCGAACCGATCGACCGAGTCAGGATGCACAACAACACCAAAAGAATCGAGACGAAAAGTGTGGCTCAAAGTGAACGTTTGCTGATTCAGCGTTTCGACATCGGGCGGATGGGGGGGGGGTTCAGGGCCTCTGCTTAAGGCGGCTGTTCGCAACAGTGCGCCCTATGGGGGAGACTCCGCAGGCCTGAAATAGGCGCCAAAAACAGCCAAGGTTTCGGGCCCTGGGTCGACCCAAAGAATACTGAGGATGAAAATCAGGACCTGGGAAAACTGACGGAAACTCTCGAGGCAACGTCCCAAATATGAGTTAGCCAGAGTGGATCACAAACAGTGTGACTCAAGCCATATACGATACTTATGCGATGTATGTTGTGCAAACTATGCGGTGCAATATACAAAAAGTACAATATGTCGTGCGCACTTTATGTTGTGGAATATATGTTGCGCCGTATGCTGTGTGCAATCGATGTTGTGCAATCGATATCGCGCCGACTGCTGCGCAATATATGCAATGGTAATGTATGTTGTGCAACAAATGTCTTGCAACTGACCAGGTGCAATCTATGTGGTCCAAGCTATGTTGCGCAATGTACGCGAAGCAATATATGCGATACAACACACGTTGTGCAGTAGTGCAGCAAATGCTGTGCAAACTATTGTGTGCGATAGATGTAGTGTAACCAAGGTTGTGCAATCTATGTATTGCAACATGTGTTGTGCAATCAATGTGGTACACCTGCGTTGTGCAATATATTTGTTGCAGTCTATGTTGTGCAACCAAGCACTTGCTCAACTTGAAGCCGTCCTCTCCACTGCTCGTGCAAACATCCCACCCTCCCACCCGCAACTTGGTCGCAAGACCTCTTAAGACCGTGACGATGGATACCAAATGGCACTTGGCAACGACGACGACGCCGACGACGACAGCGACAACGACGACGACGACGAGGCCGCCGACAACGACTACGACGACACCGACGACGTCTGCAACGACTTCGACGACGACGAATACGACGACGACGACGACGACGACGACGACGACGACGACGACGACACCGACGACGACGACGACAACGACGTCGATGACAACGCCGACGACGACGACAACGACGACGACGACGCCGCCGACAACGACGACGACGACGACAACGACGACGACAACGACGCCGACAACGACTACGACGACGACGACGACGAAGACGACGACGACGACGACGACGACGACGACGTCGCCAACGAAGACGACGACAACGACGAGGGAGGAGGGAGGACGACGACGGCGGCAACGACGACAACGACGAGGGAGGACGGCGACGACGCGAACGACGAAGAAGGAGAGAGGCGGCGACAACAACGACGACAACGACGAGGAAGGAGGGAAGACGACGACAACAAGGACGACGACGACGAAGACGACGAAGACGACGACGACGACGACGTCGCCAACGAAGACGACGACGACGACGACGACGAGGGAGGAGGGAGGACGACGACGGCGGCAACGACGACAACGACGAGGGAGGAGGGAGGACGACGACGACGCGAACGACGAAGAAGGAGGGAGGACGGCGACAACGACGACGACAACGACGAGGGAGAAGGGAAGACGACGACAACGACGACGACGACGAAGACGACGAAGACGGCGACGGAATAGGAGGGACGACGAAACGCCGACGAAGACGACGAGGGAGGAAGGACGACCACGGCGACAACGACGACAGAAACGACGACGACGCCAAAACGACGACGACGAGGAAAGACAGAGGACGACGACGGCGACGACGACGACGACGAGAGAGGAGCGAGAACTACGACGACGACGACGACGCAAGAGCGCGCGCGCACGCTTTTGTTGAAAATCGGTGTTGTGAAACCCTGTGTTTCTGTCTGTTGTTTGGACACTCGATTTTGAAATCCGTCCGAAACCGAGGATTTTCGAAGGATTTCGGCATGCGCGTGCGACGAAGCGCGCGTGTGCACTTCGTCCCATTTTCTGCAAAGGATTCTCGCGACGGCACGCGCGCAAGGGCGTTCGAAAGATTTCGATATGCGCGCGCGCGAAGCCCGTTTGGTAGCACGTTGTGAAAACATTGGGAAACCTATGGTTTTCTTGAGATTTCGCAAGAGCGCGCGCGTAAACTGCT